TCACTTTGGATTGCTTTGAGAACTGCTAGATGCCCACTGGTCTAGCAGCAATTTCTGCCTGCAGGAGTACTGCGTACGAGAAGAAGTACGCAACCTCATACCCTCTAGATGTTTTGGACTAAAACTCCCACAATCCCTGACCATTGGGCATATATTTAGTTTCTTGGGAGGCTTATGGGAGTTTTACACTGCCCAAGCAGAATTTCATTCCTCTCCTACCCATCCTCTGCAGCAAACTATGCACCACCCAGATCTGCTCTGGAATGTTTCTCAATCTTCCAGAGCAGTTCTGGAGACGGCAGGGAGAAGGGGGAATTCGGTCTACCAATACCAAACAGAAGAAACCGTTGTTGTTGTTGTATTTTGTTCATCACCTTGGATGGCCTTGGTAAAGAAAAGTGGCTTCTAAAACAAACAAATCATGAGTTTACACGCTGAGAAAGACATCTCAGAAAAAATAGATAATTTCCCCCCCAAATGCTGGCTGAAAAAGCTCATAAATACACAAACCAATTATCAAAGGAGCCAAGGGTACTTACCTTTGACTCTAAGTAAGTAAAGGGTTAAGGCATGACTGAAAACAATGTAAATGCAAAATATAAGAGGATCTCTGAGATGTAAACCCCATGGCCCCAAATAAATGATCAAATCAAATGCCACTTTATGGATTCACCACCCATTAAAGTCAATGGGAAATACTCCATGCATTTGGGGAAAGGCCAAAATCCCCTCCCCAGGCCCTGCAGAGGTCAGATAACAGACCATGACTATTACCACTGCACCTCATGGCCATTTGGCCTTTCTCAGTGGCAGGCCATTGAGGCCCATACCTTTGGAGCATGGAGACAGGGGCTCCGCTGACACCAGGAGGAAGCACCGCTTCCAGTTCCCTGGCTTTGTACAACAAATCATGCCCAAGGCAACAGTGGAAGCACTTCCTAGCCCTGTCTGAGTCTCCACCACCTGCAGTCCTGCTGTTTTCTCCAACCTCAGTTCTGAGAGAAGAGTGGGACTTCTGCAGGCTGTGGGGCATAGAGGAACCCACTGAGCTTCTGTGTGCTGGATGCACACAAGGTGCATGCCAAATTATTCTGGATTCCAACAAGGCTCTTAGGCTGCATTCCTAGTAACATTCTTAGAAGGGGATGGATTCCATTGTACACAATAAATCCTACTGAAGACATCCAACATGATGAATACGACTTCCAATAGGACTGGTCCTTCACTTGCTTAATCAGAAAACTGCAGGAAGTCCTGTGCCAAGGATAATGAAAGAACTTATGGCTAAAGATCTGTATACTGCTTTAAATTTCTTTCTAGTTTATTGTATCTCTCTTGCATGAAATGCCCACCATACACGGTCCTGACAGTGCACATGAGAGTGAATTGATGATGGCATGTAAGTAGTTTGATTCTGTCCATGTAGGCCAGGTTCTTGAAAGATCGCTGACAATTAGTTGGCAAGAAGGTTTAAACTACCTGCAGTACAGGAGAAGCTAACTCTTTGGTTCATATGCAAAGATAAAACAAGCTCACATTGCCTTTTCTTAAACTTTAAATGCTTCCATATATACTTCCTAAAAATCTAAGGGAAGAACTAAGCATAGAAAACTTAAAAGCTGAGAAGGATATCAATGAAACAAGAGTCTGTGTAATTGCTGGGCAAATTCCAAAGCATATTCATTGCCGGAGGAACATTTCATAGTGAAAAATGTGGGTTGGTCATACTTCCTTGTCAGCATATGGTGAGCAAAACTGTGGGTTGCTGGTGTGGATGACAGCTAAAAGTTCCACGTCATGGAGTAGTTGCTTGTTTGTATTCCCAACAGGTGCTCACTGACATACTTCTGCAATAAATTTCAAGCCCTGTTTTATTTTAGAGGTGGTTGCTAGCAAAGCAAGATACTTTTGGCAGGAATGCTGCTTTCCTCAAAGCTAACTATGTTCTTTAAACTAAACAAAGAGGAAATCCTTGTGCTTCCCCTTCAAGGCTACAGAAAGTCTTTTTTCTTTTGCCCAATTTAGCGCATCACGAAATGTTTGTTAACTCTTCTGTAGTAAACTAATCTGATGGGAAGTTTTCCAGTTTCCTTTTGCATCTTGGTGCTTGCATTAATACTTCCATTGTCAGCCAAGGAGTTTTCACTAAAAATACTACAGGTATACTTCCTGGCCACATCCTTCTCTTAACTCAGAAATATCCTAGATCCACTTAAGTACACACACCTTTCCTAATACCTAAGATCACAATCATAGGCACACTTAGAAGCAAGGCACCCTTAGAACATTTACTTTCAAAAGCAAAGAAAACTTTATCTTATCAAAAGTAAATGTACTGCAGCTAACAAAATAAAATCATTAAAACAATATGGCCAGAAAATTACTAGGGAGCAAGTCCAATCAAAATCAGTGCAACTTAGTAAAATCTGACTCAAAGTGCTTATGACCACGCTGCTACTTTGCAACAAACGCAAAGGGATTCAGTGGGATATATTTCTGAGTAGTAATGCATAGGACGACACATCATTTCTGGAACTCAGGAAAACTTTGCTTCTTCTTCTGCACTGGGGTAGCAACTGAGCAAAACCAAAAGCACTTGTTACTTTGATTTTTGTCTGCCTGGCAGGGCCGGCTCTACCATTAGGCAAGGTGAGGCAGCCCCTCAGGCAGCAGAAATGCTGCGCTGGGGGAAGAGCCAGCCGCTTGCTCTGTGTTCCTAAGTTGGCTCCGGTGCAACTGCTGTCAGGAGCAGTGGAGGACATTATCCTATCACCAGGACTGAAGTATGAGTCAACTGCACTGCTGACCATCTCAGGCAGCCAAACGTCTTCAGTCAGCCCTGTTTGGGTATTCCAGATCCTTTACATGACTGTTTTAAGAGCTGACTGTGCGTCCTCCTTCCATCATTTTCTGATAAGGCTCCCATTCATTTCAGCAGGGCTTCAACGGGATATTTTTTTCTATGTACTCTTACTGCTTAAAATGTGGCTATCATACTGGACTATTGTGAAAACTCAAGGTTGAAAAATACCTCCTCCCCTTCTTGATGTTGGGTGCTGTAGCCAAAAAGGGCTCCCCACATGAAATTGAGTGAGACAAGCTCCTTCTTGCAGTGTTTCCTTGATGTCTGAGCAGCCTGGGACACAAGCCTACGCATGTTTTGACTTTGAAAGTAAGGCATACTTTCACAACCTTCATGGCTTAATTTTAAACACATAAGAGGTGGGCTAGTAAAATTTAAGTAACTATACAAATTTTAAAAAGAAGGTCAGAATGATGATGCAGGATATAAAAATGTTTCTCCAAGGATGGTGGGGAAATGTAGTGGTTGGGGTGGTGGGGGGCTGTGGTCTTTCAGGTATCGCTGGACTTACCACAGGGCATGCTGACCAAGGAACTGGAGTTCAACAATATTTGGGGGGTCACAATTTCTCCAGCGCTAGATTAGGGTGTAAAACTAGGAGACTTACATTCAGATCCTCAAAGTACAGGGTGACTTTGGCCAGGTGCCTCTTAGCCTAACGAAAAGGTTTATGTGCATAAGAGGGAGAAGCCTGACGTAGGTGTGGAACAAGCAAATACAAATAAAAACTGTTGTCTAGACGTCACATCTATTCACAAAGATAATGCAGGTGAATGCTATTTTTCTCCCTAGAGGTACACAGCTTTGAAAAATATATATGAAAAATCTTCTAGGAATGCCTCCTAAATGCCTCTAGGAATTTTATGAATTGGGTCTTCTCTTAGCAACTTTGAAAGCAATTGACATCTTCTCCATGCAAATATAAAATTATATAAAGATGTCTTTATATAAAGAAATGTTAGTATACATGTTTACTTCAGAATATATTTAATTGCATGAGATCTTACTTCTGCATATGCCTGGGCAGACTTATTGCTAGTTTTTTATTGGCCCTACTCCTACTCACCAAAATTAAGCAAATGAAGTTTTTCCATACCCTGCCATACCAGTGCAGTAGTTCCATAACAGGCAAAGCTTTACACATTAAGTTCCTGTTTGAGTTCAGTGTTTTAAGGATCCTAAAAGCAACTCGAAGCTGTCACCTCCGCAGCTGCACAACAGGCCAGGCCCCAGTATAGCAACAGTGTTCCACAGTTCTTCAATAATACTTTTAGTGTCAGGCAGGTTAGTCCTCAGGAAGTATAGACATATTATGGACAGATTATCATACCACGCTGTATACTATGAGGTCTGAGATGTGTGGATGAAACTTTTAATCTTGCAGCACAGTACTGTCCTTGCCTATCCAATCTGGATTGGATACATGATCTGGAAAGCTAATGTGATCCTAGGAACACAGTGTTCAGTGAGAGGCAATGAAACTTAACTCCCAGCTCAAAGGGAAACTAAACTTAGGCTCAAAGGGAACCTCAAACTTAAACCAAAACTTCCCTTTATCTTTAACATGGGAAGAATAATGAGGTGCCTCAGTGGAGACCTGCAAGATTAAATGCTCAGGAATACCTGCTATCTGGCCTTGAATGAATGAATGAATGAATGATAATAACAAAGCCACACTTTTGTAAATTGAAGCAAAATTCTAGGCAATAATGAGAGTGAAATTAGGGTATTAAAAAAAAAACTATCTAGAGAATCTAGGGAGATGGGGATTTGTGTATCGTAAGTACTGATTTGGCTGGATAGGTGTTTAATGGCAGAATTATTATATATAAAAATAGCTTTTATAAATATATTAAATGAATATAGAGCCAACACTTTAGCTAGAACATGTGAGCTGCAGTCCAAAATGAAAGAGATATTGCAGAACCAAGTTAAACTTGTGTAGAAAATATTACTCCAGTATAATAAAAGCAACCCCGCCCATTCTTGTTAATGTACATGTCTTATGAATGTTACTGGTTTCATAGCTGCTCAACATTATTGGCATCTACTCTAGGAGAAATAAAGAAAGCCCACTTGACCAATAAACAGTTCACAGCCACCAAAATCTGCGTTGATTCAAGAAAGCAGCTCTTACCCAATGGGCCTTGTATCTTCAATGGCTCTGTCCACGGGGATCAGATCACTGAGGTAGACATTGAAGTTTCCTTCATTCCACCTCCTTTTTGCCTCTTCTTGCTTCTCATCTGGGACCACAGCAGGGTGCCCAAACTGACCTGGCGCTGTGGGGTCCCTTGGGCCAAGTGACCTATCAATGGGCAACACTTTATGCATTCTAGGATTTTCTTCGAAATGGATCACACTGTCACTGTGATTGATTTTCCTTAATTGGTCCTTATTGACTAAATTGACCCTGTCAACATTGCGTAGTTCTGCTCCTTCAGCTAGAATTGCCTTTTTAACCGCAGCCTTAATAAAATCGGCCCCGTGGCTTACATTAATTGCTTTCTGGTTATCTCTGCTTGCGTTGTTTACTCGTTGGAGGTTCTTTTCTACCCATCTCTTTCCTTTGGCATCAGCTGGGGGGTTCTGAGATGCTGGAAAGACCACCTGCACCCCTTCCTTGCTAATAATGACCACTTGCTTTTCAGAAAGCACCTGGTGTGGCTGTACAATTTTTGCATCGCTCTCTTTTGGCAGCTTTCCTGGACCTGTTGCGTTCCTAGACCCTCCTTTCTTCTCAGCTGCTTTTGAAGCGTTCAGTCCTGCGCCAGGTAAAGTTGCGCTCCTTGTTGCCTCCTGAACGTCCCCCACGTTTATTCTTTTTTCCGTCCTGTTTCCTGAAAACTTTGGCTCGCTCAGTACCCGGGGGCTTTCCCGCGGTTCCTCCGCTTTGCTTCCAGTTGGCCCTTCTCGCTTCGGTCCCGCCAAAGAGGCTTTATCCCCCAAGCCAACCTCTCTGAAAACCTCCTGCCTTCCCGCGGGTCCCTCCCTGAACGTCCTGGGCACTTTCTGAGTGACGTTGCTTGCAACAGGAGCTGCCCTGTGGGTCAGATGGACGAGGGGCTGCCCTGCCGCAGCTGCTACTGAAGGGGTCTCCGGGACCCCCCCGGGAAGAGCTGGCTTTGCCTGTGGCGGGCTGCTGGCGTTGACTGCGCCCCTCTCTTTCTTCTCCGCACGAGCGGCGAAGGAGGCCTGAGGGGGGCTCCACCACAGCTTGCCTGGGATTGTCCCGGGCAATCCCATCGTTTCTTGCAGTCTTTGGAAGATGGCTTTCTGCCTTGTCCCGCCTTTGCCCACTCTTTCCTCAGCCCTCGCAGCCGGCGCCTCCGCCTCCTTGCGGTCCCAATCCACCCCCCTCTCATCTCTTCCCAGCCCTGTCGGGGGCGGCGGAGCCCCGGGCTCCTCTCTGGGCCACCTGACGCCGCGTCCGTCGCCCAGGTTTCTCCACGCTCTGAACCTCTCCCGCTCCTTCCTGATCATCTCCTCTTTCAGAACTTGCGTGTTGATCTCGCTGAATGAAAACCGGAGGGCTGCCATGTCAAAGAGTAGCCAGATGATGGAGGCTGCGAAGATAAAAGCGAAGGCTCTCCCGCTACCTCGAAAAAGCTTCCGGATTTTGTTCATCTTGCGAAAAGTTTGGCTCGTTCTTCGCTGCTCAGGCTGCACCCGCTGCCGCGCCGCCTCCGCCTTTCCCCCGCTGGGCCTCCTCACTTAATGAGGTGGCGGCGGCAGCGGCAGCACACGCAGCCCCTTCTCCCTGGAACACGTCTGCAGAGCGATCTAAGGGAAGCCTCAAGTCCTGCCGCCGCCTGTTGCTCCTTGCTTGCGTGGCATATTTGCAGCAGCGGCAGCAGCAACAGCGCAACATCCACGTCTCCTCGGCCTCGCGTGGCCGCGGCGACCGCGTGCCACGGCCTAAGCCGCGCCCCACGCCAGGAGGCCGAGGGCTGCCCACGGGCCACTCTCCAAGCAGAGCCCGGCTGCTCTCGCCTCCCCTCGGAGCAGGGTCCGTTTCTCCATGCTGCAAGAATGAACGAGAGAGAGAGAGAGAGAGAGTGTAATGCGTCTCCCCACCCCTCCGCTCCTGCCTCACAGTTTTCATTTCTTCTCTGTAACCCAACACCACTTCCCTAAAGAAAACAACTTCCAGCGTGTAAACTTCTGGGGAACGTGGCTCTCCTCGGTACCTTCGGAGCCAGAGAAGTTATTTTCAAAGACTGCGGCAAAGTTACGCGCCCAGGCCAACAAAAGCAACTCAGCCGTCGTTTCTGGTTCGGGGCTTGTGTTGCATGGGTTGCCATGGGGAAATTTGCCCTTCCTTAACCCTGCCTCTTTACAAGGGATCCTGGTGACATACTCCGATTCTTTCAGAAACGTGGCCACCCTGAACAACGGTTCTTCTGTTTTTCAGACAGGACTTTAAACCGGCATTCTGCTGCGTTCAGGGGCTCAAGCAGCAACAGGACGGGAAATGTTCGTGGCGCGGGCGGGGGGGGGGATTTCTTCTGAGTATGAGTGCAAAGGTTTTTCCTCAGTGTGTGGAACAAGGGAAGGAGCAAAGGGTGAGAAATGTATAGGGCACCCTTTAAGTGCATTTTCAGGGTGGTTCACATAGTTGTGTGGGGGGAACCACAATAGCATACAAAATACACAGCAAGAGTCACATAGTAATAATGCTTCAGCAACTAGAACACCAGGACTTAAAAAAAAAATAAGCATTTGTGTGTTTTAAATTCTCCCAATTCCTCAAGATGAAGCTTGGAACAGATTAGACTGTAGGCACTAAGCAAATTCCTCCAGGGAAAGAATTCTACTCTTCGGTGCCACCACTGAAAAGGCCCCCGTTCTGACAGTCATTCTCAGATGGCAAGGGTGGTGGAAGAACAGTCTCAGAAGATGGCCTCAGAGCATGAGTGAGTTGATGTGGGAGCAGATTTTCCTTAAATTCTTGGGTCCCAAGCCATGTTGGGCTCATGGTACTAAAGGGATGATATTGTGTGTGGGACTTCATGTCGAATGATACAAAGGTTCCAAGTGCACGAGAACAGGTGCAATGGAATCAAGGGCATTTCAGGTTCAGGTTTCGCTTTAGGCTTAAATTATACTGTTTGTTTCTAGAAATTAAGCATGGGTGTGGTTCACTGCAATGAGAATGGTGATGCAATGCATGGTAATTGCGTGGGCACAATGCTCAGTGTTATCCATACAGTAGATGCCAAGTGTACTTTATCCAGTAATGAGAAGTTTTTGTATGCAGCTGTAACCTCCTGTGATTCTTTACTTCTTAGTGTGCATAGGACCGGCATGAGAATGGGGAAAACAGGGCAGATACTCATTTTGCAATGTCTGAGCAACATGAATTCCATTCTCACTGCAATCACATGCCATACCTGCAACAGGATACCTGTCCACTCTGAAGAAGCTGGTTTGGGCACTATCCTACCCCACACTTGTGGATGGCATGGCATGGAGGCTTCTCCCACGTTTCAACTGGAGTAAGAAGGTATATGCAGAGTGGCTTGCTTTCTCCTCTCATTTGCCACAGCAATGAGGATGTATTTGAAGGACTGCAGGAAGGGACAGTGAAGCTGTGGACTGGCCAGCATGCTGCCTTCTCAAGGTAAATATGTGACAAAAGGCCCGCTGCAAGAGGGACTTGCTCTTGCTCCTAGCAAGCATAGCATGCATGTGATACATAGCAGAACGGAAAGGGCAGAAGTTGCCTGAACACACAGAGAGACGTGAGGATTGTTGTAGCCTTAGCTAGTGATAAATTTTGGTGCCCCCAAACCAGAATGTTTTTAGCAGATTCCTGTCCACCTCATGAATGAATGATTTACAGGGAATGAAAGGGAATAGACCCTCACTGTTAAGCATTGCTTGCAGATTATGAATCATGAAACATTTCACAGCTTGGAATGGCTTTGTCAAATAGCCTCACTGTAAACTTTGCAGTCTGGTTTTGCTGCTCTGCAAATACAACTGTGTGGGGTTTGTTTGAACAGACCTGCTCAACACAGGACAGCAGCCTTTATAGGTATGGACTGATTAATTAACTCCAGACCACTCTAAGATTAGAATAATATTGAGGGTCATGCTTATATGTGCAAGGAAATCTGGTGTTTAACAGAATGCAAAGGTTTTATATATTTCTTGTTTTTCAGTGTAGGGCTTGGAAAGAAGAAGTGACTTTGCTGTGCTGAAGTTTGAGGCTCAATAATAAAAGGAGAAATAATAATACATTTAATTTCTATATTGCTCAATAGCCAAAACTCTCTGGGTAGCTTGCAACAATTCATAAAATTACAAACCACAAATACAATAATAAAATACAAATCCTCAGATGTTGAGGTGTTGAGATGACTGGTGGAGTCAGGAGGGAGAGATGGTCCAGCTACTATTGTAGTCCCCAAACTTTATAGGCTTTATAGGCTTTATAGGTTCAACCAGTACCTTGACTTGGACTTGAAAGCACAGAGGCAGCTACCAGGTATAATATGCTCAGAACTGGTATAATATGCTCAGATCTTATGCAGCTCTGGAACACTCTTTAAGGGCAGCCCTCATGTAGAATGCAGTTGTGACTATAATCTAATGTTTCCGGTACACAGACTACTGAAAGAAGGATAGCTGGATCACCAGCCAAGGCTGGTAGAAGACACTCCATGCCACTGAAGCCATCTGAAATTCAGGTGACAGAGATGGCTCTAGGAGAACCTCCAACCTGCAAACCTTTCAAGGGAGTGCTACCACATCCAGATAAGGTTGAGCACCTTCCATACGATCAGACAAACTAATAACAACTCAGTTTTGGCTTGATTAGACTAGAATAGTAGTTGGATTGGAAGGGGCTTATAAGGCTCCACTTCCACATGCAGTTACCCATCTGGCTGTAGGTCTGTGCCTTTCCAACTTAGCAAAGGTGACTCGATGTATAGCTAGCTATGCAGGCTTACAGCTGTGCATGCAGTCAGATTAAGTTTTAGTTGATCAATTCTCATCCAATCCATTGCTTCAGCCAGGCACTCATTGAGCAGATCCATAGCTTCATGAGATGGAGATGAAAAGGAGAGCTTCATGTCATCACCACACCAATTGCAACATAGTGATTTCAAGTAGATAGTGAATAGCAATAATTTGCAGGTGCTTTGCAGTGTTGTAGCCTTGTGCTTTCTGGGCATTTCCATGGCTTTTTAAAGAATGTGGATAATGAGCTGTGAAAAGACTTGCTTGCTGTAGAACACTAGGAAATGGTTGTGGTGTTTGGTAGTCCTACTACATCACAGCACCACCTTGTGATCATGTAATAGAACATAAAGGCACAGAAGAAAACCTGGGGAGGGGGGACATTGAAGGAGTTAATCACAAAGAATCTGGAAGCAGAAACCTTGGTGGTCACTTAAAATGAGTTAAAAGCCTGATATAAAGAAGGCTCTTTTTAAGGAGTCTTTGTTGAGGCACTTTGTCAGAAGCCTTTGGAAGTCCAAGGAAATAGTGTCTATCAGATCACCCACGTTTGTTGACATTCTTAAAAGACTTTAAAAGGTTATATAGAGAGATGACTTAGGTTATAGAGACATGAAGCTGGATTGATACATTTTCAGCAGAGCTTGTCCTTCTATATGCTTACTAATTTTATCGTTAATATCATTGTCTTGTGAATGTCAGAGCAAGAAAGAGAGAGAGAAGAAATGCCATACCTAAAATTTGAATGGATTGATTATCCACATATATTTAAAGAAATATAAAAACCAGTTACATATAAAAGGTAAAGGTTTCCCCTTGATGTTAAGTCCAGTCATGCCTGACTCTAGGGGGCAGTGCTTATCTCTGTTTCCTAGCCGAGGGAGCCAGCGTTTGTCCACAGAAAGTCTCCGTGGTCATGTGGCCGCATGACTAAACACCAAGGTGCACAGAATGCTGTTACCTGCCCACCGAAGTGGTGCCTTTTTATCTACTTGTATTTGCATGCTTTCGAACTGCAGGGTTGGCAGGAGCTGGGATGGAGCAACAGGAACTCACCCCATTGTGTAGATTCGAACCGGTGACCTTTTGATCAACCAGCCCAGCAGCACAGCGGTTTAAGCCACTGCGCCACCTGCATCCAGTTATATATAAGCTTCAACAGTATCCATTTATTTATCATTCATAAACAGCATCTTGACACTAGTTCAAATGTTGAAAGCATTGTTGAATCCTCAACCATTGTGTTTCTGGAGATGGCCATTTATCCTTCCAGTGTTGTAATATCAGTCTTTTTGCTATCAAAAGGTCAGGAGAAATCAATTTACATTGACCTTGTGTTAGAGTTCAATATTTATTTATTTATTTGATTTATAGCCTGTCTTTTTTCCTTTCAAGTAACTGAAAGCAGCTTACATAAGACTCCTTCTCCTCCATCTTACTCCCACAACAACAACCTGTGGGGTAGGTTGGGCTGAGAATCTGTGACTGGCCCAAAATCACCCAGGTGGCTCCATGGCTATGCAGGGGCTAGAACCCAAATTGCCTGAATCCTGGTCCCATGCTCTTCACAACTATATCAAACAGGTTCTCAATGAAGATAGCATGTGTATCAGTACATATCAAAGAGTTTTCAGGCATAAAATTTGTATTATAACCTCCTCCTAAAAAGAGACAACTACTGAGCATTAACAAAACCTGAGTGAAAGAAGCATTGGCTGTATTATATCTTCAATGTTTAGTTAACTTAGATCAGTTCTTATTTAAAAAGATGTTGTGGTGTCCAGTATACACAGAA